ATGTGTGTGTACACGTGATGTCTGTATTTTAGTGGCTGTGTGTGCTGGTACTTGTTCATGTCCACTTTCCTGAAGATGTGATCTGATGCAGTAAACTCACACAAGAAGATGAGTGATTATTGATCGACAAAAGCAATCACGCTCCATGTTTTCTATTGCTATTGTATTTGACATGTTTATGACTAAATAAATGATTAATGGTTTAATCAGAAACAGAATGGCTGATTAATTCAACCTGGTGCTGGCCCCAAACACACATTCGTGTACATTAATGTACAGGGCTGCTCGTTTTTAGCCAATCAGTCGAACGACTGGTCTTTTTGTTCTTAGTCGACTACAATTTCTTTGGTTGATTTGTCATTTTGTATGCTTTTTCATGCTGAATGACTTATTTCTAAGAAACTTCCCATTACAAAGTCATTACATGACATAACTGGTTTTCTCCTTTTCCAGTTTGTACTCAGAAAGTAACGCTGACATTTTGATCTGTAGCTGGTTTGTTGCGAGAAAAGCAACAACTCTAAAACCCGGCATCTCATTGACGGGTGGATTAAGTTAGGAAATAGAATATTCTGGTATAGATTGATTGATTATTACTGAAAATATCAGGACTTCCCCTTTCATTGTTTACGATATTCCAAATGAGTTGGAACCCAGTGATGTAGAACATAAAACAAATATGATCTCATTTCCTCGCGCTGAACAATAAAGATCTGAACTGAGCTCATTTGTGTTTCTCCTCCGCAGGAACGTTCAGAGGTGTGTGTAAGAAGATTGATCACTTCCCGGAGGACGCGGACTATGAAAAAGATGCTGCTGAATACCTCCTACGTGAGTTTGATGATGATACATTAAGGACCCATTTTTAAACATAAATCTATCAGTCAAACCTATTAACAACCTTTTATCAGGTGTCACTGTCAGGCCCAGATTTCTATGAACTTTGCTGGACTAAAGGGATAAACATTTATGGTTTCGATTCGATCACTCTTGTTCGTTCCATCCAGTATTTTGATAATGTACTAAACTCTACAGTCACTAGAGTGCAGACACAGAGTACAAACAGCCAACAAAATATGCATCTGCAGGACTTTAGAGGCTTTTTTTCTCATGTGATTAATTTGCATGTAAATATGAGTACAAAGATTACCCTGCGAAAAAGCGGCATACTTTTTTCATGGGAACAAGGCACATTTTTCTGAGCTTTTGCGCCGCGAATAAAGGCATCAGCCAATCACGTTGTGCCGAACAGGATGCGTTCTGCCTATATTTATATTTATGAAACAACACGGAGGCTCCATAGTCCAAACCAAGACGGCAAACTTTGTTGCTCCTTTCAACCTCGACAGAGGCAGCTCAGACCAGATCCACTATAGTAAAAGCCCTGAACATATAATGTTACCAGACAAGTATTTCACATTTTCTTTTTGTTTATTTGTGACGGCCTCGTTGTGTAAATGCCTTAAGACATAACGCACAGTTTTATTGTGACTTCACATAAGGTCCCAACCTCGAGGTAGAACAAATCTGGGATATAGAAAACATCAGCGTTAGGGTTCGGGTTAGGCGGCCAGCTCTGTGCGTTGTACGCATCGTTGTATACTTGTTGTACACAAACCAGCTAGCTAACCGTTTGCAGAGATGCATGCCCAAAACAAAAGCCCACATTTTAATAGGGAAGGAGAGACACACCTACTTTTAAACTTTTTATGGTTGCAGCCGGCTTGTTTTATAACAAGAATCTTTAAAAAAAGGGTCTTAAATTTGCTGTGTAAGGATTCATACACGATATCACACTATCAGTGTGGAGGCCACAGCTGCAAGATGTGTCAGCTTTTGATCATGAATGTAGAAGATAATAAAATAAAGGAACAGCAGCATTGTTTTTGTTTTGCAGTGTACAGCTATAGTTATTCACAGTGTTACATGTATGATAAGGAGAAAGGTTAGATCTTATTACATTCCGGATGGATGAACAGAGAGTGTCCAGTGGAGAGAACAGGAGATTCAAAAAACAGGTGCTACAGTTTTACCAGCACATACATGAGGAAAATAAAACAAATGTCATGATGAGAAAATGGCAAAGGAGAAAGGAGGGATCACATTTACAGAGAGAGTAAACGGGATGCAGGCAAAGAGATATAAAGAGAGTGGTTTAGTGGAAAACAGAGAGGAGGGGCTCTCTCTGTTCCTTCTCCCACAGTAAACACAGAGTAAAGATGGACGGAGAGAGAAAACGGTAACAACAACAACAAGAGGAAAAAAAGGGAAAATGGATTCAGCCTGTGCTTCTCTTTTCATTGCTCCACTGAACACAGAGCAACATCCCCAGAGGCAGCCAATTAGATCACAGGCCTCAGAGCTGGCCAGCCAATGGGGAGCAGGGACCTAGTGACCGGCATTTCATACAGCCCAGGGGTGTGGGCCATAGGGGGCGGGGCTTATACGCTCCAACGCACAGCACCACTGGTCGCTGCAGCTGCCAGTCATGCCGGGAATGTTTTGGAACGCAAGAAGCGTGAAGGAAAGATACTCAGGAACACAAACACGTTTCTTATGGGTGATTTATTTGATCTTTTTGACTACACACCTGTGATGTATGGGTGCACATCAGCTGTTCAACACATCTAAACACACCGCACCGCTCGGTTCTGCACGACAAGCTGTTTGCAAATATCCTCCAATATGTTATCACGTCATGTACACATATGGTCTTCTGACAAATATGTCTCTCCTCATGCAGCCTCCCTTCCGTTTTCATCATCTCTGCTATTCATTATTTTCGCGGTGCATATGTGTCAGCGCGGCTCTCCATCTGTCTTGGTTTTAGTCCATCTTCTCCCTCTACATCCGTCTCGCTCCCTCTCTCTGAGGCGAGGCCTCCGAATGCTTTAACATGTTCTGGATGCAGACTCAGTCAAGCATGTAGCAGCACACACTGGCCCACGTGTGTGTGTGTGTGTGTGTGTGTGTGTGTGTGTGCAAAGTGACACATTTTTCATTGTTTTAGCTCTGCCCTCCAGCACAGTGGATTTGAAATGAGACGTTGATGTTCTGACTTTCAGCTTTGAGTGTTCACATCCATCAGACCAGCAGATTTACTACAAAATGTTTTCAGTGACCTCCTTTTTGAACTTCAATAACACTATATAGTCTCAAAATGAACCAATCATTACAGGCAACATCTTGGCTTCATAGAAAAGGTTGGTAGGTAGATCTTTACATCATGTTTCCCACAAGTGTAACTAATATTGGAAAAATAATAATTGAGGCTCCACGTGCTCTATTGAACTATTTCTATTTGTACAACTTCTCCTGACCTCTCCCCAGTGCTCTGTGTTCAGCAGAATGCAGAACTGTCATTTTTGTCAAGTGACTGTTGGTGTCAGACCAGTCAATCAGTGCTTCCCAGTTGCACTTGGGAGCACAAAATATATTTTTTACAGGATCTGGTTTGTGCAAATAGTTTATTTCGGGTGAAAATGTAAATGAAACATGTAGAATATTGTGTTTTTGATGCGTCTCCTGACGGAAGCGATGGTCACACATGATGTGTTCAAGCGTTTAAAAGGTGAAAACCTGACTATGATGTCTTCTGGCTTTGATAAACGTGTATTTTTGGCGAAACATACTTTTCAAACCCGCGGGCAGTTTTGGGCATAAAGACATAAACATTTCACATAAAAGAGACCACAGACTTAAAACAAACCAGCAAACTGCATCAACCAAAGAATTGTCTGTCCATGTTTGGTGAAATATAGTCAGTGCTCAAATGATCCTTAATCCTGTTATTAACATCGTGCATGCTTATGACATAATGAAGTTTAAAATGGGTCTAAGATGATAGGCTTTCAACAAAAACATAAAGGTCAAAGCTGCTGATCATTTTTCACGTCAGCAAAGAGCAGAAATAAGGAGGCAGTTTGTGGAATTTGGCCAAATTTCCAAATCAAAAAAATCAATCTCCCGAGTCATTCTGCAGAGCCAGAATGACAAGATCTTTACACGGTAAAAACGTTTTGTACTTTTCGGTAATAACCGTGTTCCCTCTCTTCTTCTTCTTCGTGTGTGTGCTTTAACAGGTGCTGTGCGTGCCTCCAGCATCTTCCCCATCATGAGCGTGGGTCTGCTGTTCCTCGGGGGGCTCTGTGTGGCCGCCAGTGAGTTTTACCGGAGCCGACACAACGTGATCCTCAGTGCAGGAATCTTCTTCGTCTCTGCAGGTCGGTCTGCACTGCGTGTGTCTTTTTGTTAGAATTACAATGTCTGTCCTCGTTGTTTCTTTTGTGTGCACCAGTGTAGATAAAGTAGGCTCTGTATTTAGAACAAGAAGGTGTTGTTCTTCACTGACGGACACTTCTTTTACATATTGATTATATTGTTTCTCAGAAAAAAAACCCCGAATTGGCTATTGATTAAGAATTGTTGCTTTTTAGCCTGAATTTTAACCCTCTTGGCTGCACATGTTTTATATGTTCGTTGTATTGATTTTGTTGTTTGCTGATGTCACTGATGAAATGTTTTGTATTGAGTTTTCTGCTTGTATTGTGTGTTTATTCTGTCTTATTATTTTTGCTATGCAATGACTCGATTTCCCCACAAGAGAAAATAGGTTCTTAGGGTTTAAATTAGATTGAAAAGAAGCAGATCTGTTTCAACTGATCGCTCTCCCCCAAAACACGTCCCTCAATGTTGTAAAAAAAATAGAAAAATTGTCCTTTTTTTATTTTTTATATTTTAATTATTGATAAAATCCCAGACTTAAAAGAATAAATAATGAACCCTCTGTAATCTCCTTTCGTACACCTAAAATTGCGACTGCAAACTTTGGTGCAGCAAACTGTGATATGTAAGCATACTGATGCTCATCTCCATGACAGCACATTTAAACACAATATAGCAGCCATCTTAGCTGCATAACCAGCCGCACTTAAAATACCCCGACCCGATTCAGACACGTCGTATTTATATAATTCAAATTTTTAATGCAAGGATGCTGCTTTTGAGATAGCAACATAGGGCTAGTGTGTGTGTGTCGTCACTGTGGAGCCACTCTAAACAGAGGAGGTGCAGCACTCAAATATTTGCAGAAGGAGCCCGTCAGGCATCTAAAGCACACAGAAGTGGCTGTGTGCAAATTTGGACACAGCAGCTGATTAATCAATCAGCAAGAATACCATGATGCCGCTGTGATGCACTGCGAGGGTGTGAGCGTGTCAACACGCATACATGCTCACACACATAATCTATCACACGGATGCTGACACTTGGTCTCCCATAAACACACACACACACACACACACGCACACACTTGTGCTCTTGCCCCTGACACACACAAAGGGCTGTAAAGTACTTGCTGTTCAGTGGGATGTGTAGGGTCCCATTGGGTTTTGTAGTAAATTCATGGAGCCAAATTGGTAATTATTTACCACAATAGTGTGGGGCTGATTCTGGTTAATTACAGCTGGCTAATTGTCCCCATTCTGTGCGTTCCACCACACTGCATGAGCACTGTATTCTGGACTAATGATATGGAATAAGAGAGCCCAGCTGTGTGCAATGACTCTCTCTGATGCTCTCCTCCCGTTACTTTGCTTTATTTCATTTGGCCGTCTCCCCGTCGTCCTCTTCTCCACTCATTTCTCTCAAGTCTTGGCTCCGAAAATCTTCTCTTTTCTCAAATGTTCTCTCACTAATCTGCCACTTTATTTTATATTTAACTGTGTCGGTTGGTCGTCCACTTTGTGTTCAGACTGAAATACCTCAACTACATTCAAGTCCCCCTCTGGATAATTAGTAATAACTTTGGATTCCTTAGCTTTCCTTAAAGCACCGCCACGGTTTTAATTTGTCCAACGCTTTGGTTTGTGGCTAAAAGCCTGCAGAATTAAGGGCGTTAGTTGTAAACATGCTAAACCAAGATGTTGCTTATCGTGAACATTATACTTTCCAAACATCGTTACGTTAGCGTTGTCGGTGTGAACATGTTAGCATGCAGATGTTAACATTTAGCTCTAGCACGGCAGACATGTTTGTTTATTCTTCTGCATTAACTGTAAATCTGTTCTTTGTTTTCTTTTAGTGGCCGATCTCTGCCTCTTGCAGTTTTTGATGTGTGCTGTTTGTCTGGATGAGTATGGAGTCATAGGAGTGACATAATACAGATTAAATCTGTGAATGAATGAGAGTAAATTAATTGTAATATATAAAATATTCAGAAACAATAGTAGAGTAGTTTATATGCCAAAAATGAATAAATATATATATTAAAAAAATTAATAAATAAAAACAGAAATAAATCAACAAAAGAATGGAGGGAAATTGTAAATGCTTTTCTTTTCCTTTATATTTAGTTGTCTTCAACTGTATTTACCTATTTATCTATTATTTATTTCTCTTTATACTTTCCCATTTATTTTCAGATGTATTCTTTATTATGATATTCCTATGACTCCATACTGTTTGCCTGGATGAGGAGGTCACGCTTGCACCATTTCCACTTCCATCTCTTAATGTTTGTCTCTTCCTGTCCTTCCCTTCCAGGTCTCAGTAACATCATAGGGATTATTGTCTACATCTCAGCCAACTCGGGTGACCCGGGTCAGAGCGACAGCAAGAAGTCCTACTCCTACGGCTGGTCCTTCTACTTTGGCGCCCTCTCCTTCATCATGGCAGAGATGGTGGGCGTGCTGGCCGTGCACATGTTCATCGAGAAGCACCGCAAGCAACGGGCCAAGTCCCGCACCGAGCTCATCAAAAAGTCCGCCTTCAGCCGCATCCCTTCCTACCGCTACCGCTTCCGGCGTCGCTCCAGCGTGCGTTCCTCCGAGGCCCCGAGCCGCGACGCCTCACCGCTGGGGAAAGGCGGCTACACGGGGCCCGCCGCCTCCGAGATGCCCATGTACACGCTGAACCCACGTGAGGCAGGCAACGCCGGCACCAAGCCTGGAGGCGGCATGGGCGGGCTGCTCAACTCGGAGAGGGAGTTCCTCCAAAGCAGCACGCTCACTAAAGACTACAGCAAGGACCCCAACCGCAGGACCACGCCCGTCTGAGAGGTGCCGGCTGCAGATATCGCCCAATCAGAGTATCAAAGAGAAGGATGACGAGAAATACAGGGGGGAGTGCAAGCTTAAGCAGGGGACGCACAGGGTTACGGGGGTGGGAACGGGGTTTGATAAACTATGACTGTGAACTGTGAACTTTTAGCCTTTGAACTGTGAATCCTGAGCCCTGTGAGAGTTTCAGTGTGTGTAGCAGGGTCGGTTTTGATGGAGAAGTTGTTCCCGACTCCACTTTACCACATATCACTGTAGTTATACCTGTGAATCCTTACATATGAAGGCACATTCAATTTATGTCCATGAGTGTTATGATCATAAATTGACTCTCTGGCTTTTTTCGAGGGGGAAACGGGTTTGACCCAAGATCAAAAGCATATCGTAAGTGGTTTGCTGTTTGGGGCAACTTCTCCTTAAAATTTAAAATAATGTGAACTAAAGGAGAAAGGGGAAGGAGGTGAGAGACTCTGTGTGATCTTTACCTTTTGACCTCTGTCCTCCCGACCTTTTTTTTGGGTAGCAGTTGGATTAGTGGCAGGGAGCAGCCTTAGAGCTCCGAGCTGTCTCTCTGATGACGATTTTAAAAAGTGCGGACGTTAACACCTCAGGATCGGGATTGATTCATTTTCAGTTCAGCTGGACTCAAAATATAAATTGAAGTTGCGGTTTGTCTATTGATGGCGGCACATTTGTGACACTAGTTATTATTTTCTTATACATATTGTATATATACTCCTTTCATATTGATTGATGGAAAAGCTGTCTTCTTAACAGACTGAACTGAAACTGAGTTGAGCTCATTCTTGGTAACATTTACCCCCATCTCTCTGATCCCAGGTCAGTTGTTAAAACCTGCTTAGTGGTTTTTGGGGAACCGGGTACACTGACTACAGATCAGCTGTTAGAGGAGGGGGGGAGGTGTGACTCAACTAAACTAATGAATCTCTTTTAGATGGTAACATAGATCATTGGTGCTTCCTTTTACCCGTTTTCAGCCACATAAGTCGCATCTTTATTTATTTTGTCACCTTAAAGAGGTGATCCGATATTTGTCTGTCTGTCCGCCTTCACTTGTCACCTTTCACCTTCCACATTTTTCCGTGTAGCCCCATAACTCACCTCACTGCCACCCTCTGCACACCTCCTCTCACCCTCTCCTTCTCTTTTAGGTCCTGTCTTCCGTCGGTGTCGCTCGTAGACTAGCTAGGGTTTGTGGAGGTTGTTGGTTCAGGGTACTGCGGAGAGGAGACCGCTGAGCTGTGAATATGCTTTAAGGCAGAGCCAAAAAGACATTAAACAAACAGATGGACTTTTCATTTGCCCACTACCTCTTGGTGAATATATTTCAGATGAGTTTAATAAAAAGTTGTCTTTTTCTTGCCAGAACCATTGTCAAATATTTCAGCTGCAGAAATACACACTGAGAAAATGCTCCCATCAGCCTAAAGTACACCTCTCTCTGCTCTAATGGAGGATCTGCTGGAAATGAATTTAAAGATAAATAGATGGAATTGGCAGAAGTGTCATGTATTATTCAAAGGATCTGCGCCCCATCCATTCAGCTGTCACTCACAGCCTCTCCTCCTCTTTATCTCCACACATACTGTATACATCTGCACAAATGCAAACACACACACACACACACACTGTGGCTGTGACAGTCATGGTCTTATCATATTTCAAACACCTGTACATTTCTTTTCTGTGACAGATTCTGGAGAAACATCAATACGCTTACGTTCATCTCTCTTTCTCTCGCTCTCTCGCAGACGTATACACAAAGATGGTCCACTCTCTGACCTTCTCTGCGTACTTTGTTGGCGCCGTTTTGTATTGAAGCGTTAGATAAGAGGAGAGATGAAAATATATGATGTTGCATACGTAGCTCCCCATTGAAACATACTGGAACACTTGTTGCAGTAACCTACACATTATCCGGCTTTAGTTTTGCTTTTGAAATCCTGATCTTGAAGTGCTTGTCTTTTTCTTGGCTGGTTGCATCGCACACAGTCACTTCTCCACTGGATCTCCCAACAGCTGGCGGTCTGTCGCTACCTCTGTCCAATGCAAATGTTGACAAAGAATTAGCAGGCGGTTGGAACGCATACAAAGACCCAAAAAGGCATACTTTGTGACACTATATTACAGATAGTGTCGTCTGAGGTCGCATTAAACACCTGATCACACACACAGACACAAGGGGAGGAGACAAAATAGCCATAAATCGGAGAGGAAGGGAAAGAGCTGCAGGGAGAGAGAGCACGAGTAACAAGTGTAAATGTGAACCGCATTGTTCTCACACTTTTTCTGGGGCTGTAAGTAAAAGGTGAGAGTGAAACTTAAAGGAAGAAGAAAATGCATTTTTGTTTCCTTCTTTACCTCCCTAAGCCGCCATTGCACTGTTTTGTATAAACTAACCATGAAGCATCACCACGCTGAAAAGTCACACCACAACAGTTATTACCCTGATAATAAACGATGTTTTAAATCTCAGTCACACTGTTTAATTTATGAGGCTGCTGTTTTATCCGCTGTCTTTTTTACGCCATAAAGGGAGCTTAAAGGGACAAACGTGCATCACCGCGGACTTGCTCTTGCTGTCCTCCACGTGTAAATATAAATTTTGCAAGCTAACTACAACATCAGCAGTTGTCATGGGCTGTGAAAAAAAAGATTTCAAAAAACGCTTTTCTCCAAGCAAGGGCTTTTAATTTTTAAAGGACAGGAGCACACAAGGGCTTTTTATGCTCAGCGCTGCAGCGGCGTCGTTTTAAGGGTGTTATGTGGAAGGAAAGGCAAAGTACATTTGCACACGAACAACCAGCTGAATAGCTAACGAAGGATATTACACGCTTCATGCTAAAGAGAAGCGGAGGTAGAGAAACTGTACTCTTCTACTCGTGTTAGTTAGCCGACAGGTTAGCCCTTAGCTGCTTCTTTTTGGGCTAACTTTAGGTCAGATGGGTAACTTTCTGAAGTAATTAGAGATTAAGAATATTGCCTTAAGCAGAGGTAGGATAATTTTGATTAAGAATTATTTGAGTTAGCTTAAGGATGAAACATATATTCGCAAAATATTGTTAATCATACTTAGTGCCAAATATTACTCAAGATGTTTCCAGTATATCATGGCCTCCAGGTTAGCTTCAGATCACTGCTCCAAGTACTCTTCTTTTTTTTTTGCATAGGATTTCCTGCAGTATACTGACTCAGCAGTAGTAGCTATGTAGCTCAGCACATCAGGCCCCTCGGATCCTGAGGGTCTGCTGGGGGTCAGAGTTCAGAACCGCATCCATGATCCATGTCAGCATTGACCTTTCAAACCATGCATGCCATATCCATCCGCTTCCAGTGCTTACATTCGCTGCATCTCTAATCGAGTCTCAAATGGCGCCCTGGTCTCTGTGCTCCGTAGGGATTCTGCTACATTTAAGACGCCTTACAAGCGCGTGTGGGGCCCGGAAAGCCCGTACTGTGTTTAACGATGTTTACTCCAATAGAGCACGGGGCGCTTTTTGAGACCTCACCTCTGTCTATCTCTTCCTACCGCCATACAGCTTTGATACTCTCATATCAACAACAAATAATTGTATTATTAGTAAAAAAAAAAAAAAATTATTCTACTCTAAAGGTGCCACTGTGCAGAGGATGACTAACTCTGTCACATATTATAGTTATTATATCTATTAATGGGGGAGGGGGGGGGTGATCGAAAGGGAGCAGCGTTGGGAAGCAGGGGTCGTAGTCTTTGTAATATTATATTATTCTAGTTTCATTTTCTACTTTGATGTGGTTTGTGAGATTGTGTTGTTTCGATCACATCGGACGCCTCTTGACAGGAGGCGAAGGAAGAGACAGTGGAGCGCTCGGACGATCTCTCGTGGACATGAACCTCACCTCACTGGTGCCAGAGGTCCACTTTACAGTTCATCAGCGGGACACTCAACACTGAAAGTGCAATACACACACATACATGCATTCAGAGTAAAGTTGCTATACTTGTGAGGACTTATTCGCCCTACAGGCTAAAGCTCTGTTACCTGGTACAGGAGCTGAATGCAGAAGACAATGCAATCCAATACAGCAGTCTGTAAAATCAGATACTTTTATGAAGCTTAAAAGTAGCTGTTTTTTAATAAGACTGACAGGGACAAAATAATAGAGACAGTTTACAATGTGAGGCACTATAACAAAACTCAACTACAACCTCAACAATTACATCGATTTGATCCAAAGTGTTACCAAAATGTTTTTATTTCACAGAGGTAATGTTGTCATGACAGCCGTGATGAATTGTATTACATTATGAAGGGGTTGCCTCGCTGTCTGCATTCCTATTTATTCTGTAACACCTGTCTAGATGGTTAGAAATGTCGTTACATCTTACCTTCTTCACTTTCACTGTGGCTCCGAAAATAAGTCCTCTGTCCTGGTCCCTACAGTAAAGAGAAACACAAAGCAAGGTGGGAGCTTTGGAGCACATATTGTGATTAAATATTCAAGTTTCTCTTAAAATATAAAAAAAACAAAAATATAAATGTACCATATTGAGATATTAACCGTAAATTACGATATTAAATATACTGAAACAATGGCCAACCTAAAATAAATTCAAATACAAAAGAAAATTGTTATTTTAGATGGTTTTTATGTGTGGGATATAGGTCCTTATAAGTATAGAAACAACAAGAACACACTCCATAATGGTCCCAGACATATACACAGACAACCATTTATGCACAGAAACACACACTCACACAGCACACACTCACAGCTTCAGCTTCGGCCAGTGCGGTGTGGGGAAAAGTGTGTCCTGTTAAAAGAAAAAATCACTGTTGTGTTTGGAAAAAAAAAAAAAATCATTGTAAGTGTTTCTTTGGGAGAGAAAAAACAACAACAAACTGTTTCTGTCGCTGATGTGTCGCTCCTCAATGGAACTACAAGTACACTGAGCCAGCCAATCAAACACGGAGGACCAGAAGAACTGTTTGAGAAATGTGAATTTAATGGAATAGACAAACACATGCTATAAGCACTCTACACTTTGCACTTGCTACCAACACACACACACACACACACACACACATACACACAAACACGTACAAGGTTACTGTGTGAGGAGGGCTTACGGGTGGAGTTATGTGCCTGCATGTTTGTGTGTGTTAGTATTCGTGTGTGTGTGTGTGCGTGCGTGTGTGCAGTTAGCCTCTCCTCACCCATGCACCCAGTGCCTGCCTGTCCTGCCTTCAGACAGCTCCCAGATCAGCCATGGGGCTTCCAGTATGACCTCCTCTGCATTCCCACAACCTTTAACGGTTGCACTGGGATCAGTTCTAGAGCTAACTGCCCCGATCATTCCTCAGCAGACGCAGCCATATACAAGATACAAGGACTGTTTCCGAGTCAGTGGTTTCTGGCGCGTAATCATGACAAAATTCAATGATGATGAGTTTATGTTACAAGTCTAAGAGGGAAGTCGTGTTTTTTATTTCAACGGTCCGACTGGTCTGTTGGGTTTTTCATTTGGACGCTCCTGCTGTTGAGATCTGACTTGTCGTCTCTGTCTGTGAGGCTGATTTAGGATCGGCAGAGGGGGCTTAGCGGGATAGACAGTAATCTATCGAGTCCCTAATGACAGCTGGTCTTGAATCAGCACAACCTGGTGTAGCCTGCTGTTCCTCGAGATCTCAAACTTCCCAGAAGTCCGCCAAAAAAAAAAAAAAAAAACGGTCTAGCTCGTTGTGTTTAACTGTTGTGTTGCTGAGGATTTGTCTATAGGAGCTCTTACATGAAAGTATTTCTTCTTTCAGATGACGTGAGAGGTCGTCCCACTTGTACTGCCAATTAGACCTAAATGTTGTTAATGTGGGACAATACATGGAGAGACTCTGGACAGGTACATTGTTAGTTTTCAAACAGTATCTATGATCGAAATAGCAGCCATGATTTCATAAATTATTCTGGCCTTGGTGCCTATTAAGCCCCTTTTCCAGACTGCCCGCTTCCTGTTCTTTTTTTTTTTTGTGTGCCCGGCTTTAGCCCTTTAGCTAGAGAGATTTCGTACCTGTCTTGCATTTTACACATATTATTTTGACAGGAAGTACAGAGCGATTAAAATCTGCTTTTTACGGTTTTGCCTCAAGCCCCCTCGTTCAGACAGTGTTGTTTACATGCAGAACATATCCGAGGCCGGCATGGTTGACTGACCAAGGATGAAAGGCCCAAAATGGCAGGATGTTTAAGCAGGCCTCGAGAGTTTCGCTCTGCATCAGGTGCATTCAGGCTCCCTCTTGCATGAATTGCTCATGAGCAGTATGGCAACGGTACATGTTAAAGTTTTCTTCATCTTGAACGTATGTTATTGGCGTTTAGAGTGAAATCACAAACAAAAAAAGAGTTTGTCTTTTACAAACAAAAAAAGATAAAGTGATTCTTGTTGAGACAGTTTTTATTGATACTCCCAACCGACTCACAATAGATTTTCACACCAATTCCTACAATGTCTATGTGATATTGGATTACTACAGATTTTTGTATGAGTCAAACTCTCCTCTGAGGGAGCAATGCCCCAAAGAAACTAAATTGCCCATCACCTTCTACTGAGCCATGTTTTAGTGGGTAGAGTCGGGCTGCGAGGCAACAAAGCTAAGAGGAGACTCAGGAAGATGTCACTCAATTAGTCTCCACACAGCGCTGCCAGATTAACTGGAAACACCTGTGTAGGTGTTCAGAGGCTTACAGCACTGCTATTAG